AGGGGGATGAGGTAGATGAGGCTTTCTTCCGGCAGCTCACGGAAGCTACTAGATCGCATGCCCTGATTCTCATGGGTGACTTTAATTTTCCTGATATCTGCTGGGAGAGCAATACAGCAGTGCATAGACAATCCAGGAAGTTTTTGGAAAGCGTAGGGGACAATTTCCTGGTGCAAGTGCGAGAGGAGCCAACTAGGGGGGGCGCTTTTCTTGACCTGCCGCTCACAAACCGGGTAGAATTAGTGGGGGAAGCAAAAGTGGATGGGAATCTGGGAGGCAGTGACCATGAGTTGGTTGAGTTCAGGATCCTGACGCAGGGAAGAAAGGTAAGCAGCAGGATACGGACCCTGGACTTCAGGAAAGCAGACTTCGACTCCCTCAGGGAACGGATGGCCAGGATCCCCTGGGGGACTAACATGAAGGGGAAAGGAGTCCACGAGAGCTGGCTGTATTTCAAGGAATCCCTGTTGAGGTTACAGGGACAAACCATCCCGATGAGTCGAAAGAATAGTAAATATGGCAGGCGACCAGCTTGGCTTAATGGTGAAATCCTAGCGGATCTTAATCATAAAAAAGAAGCTTACAAGAAGTGGAAGGTTGGACATATGACCAGGGAAGAGTATAAAAATATTGCTCGGGCATGTAGGAATGATATCAGGAGGGCCAAATCGCACCTGGAGCTGCAGATAGCAAGAGATGTCAAGAGTAACAAGAAGGGTTTCTTCAGGTATGTTGGCAACAAGAAGAAAGCCAAGGAAAGTGTGGGCCCCTTACTGAATGAGGGAGGCAACCTAGTGACAGAGGATGTGGAAAAAGCTAATGTACTCAATGCTTTTTTTGCCTCTGTCTTCACTAACAAGGTCAGCTCCCAGACTGCGGCGCTGGGCATCACAAAATGGGGAAGAGATGGCCAGCCCTCTGTGGAGATAGAGGTGGTTAGGGACTATTTAGAAAAGCTGGACGTGCACAAGTCCATGGGGCCGGACGAGTTGCATCCGAGAGTGCTGAAGGAATTGGCGGCTGTGATTGCAGAGCCATTGGCCATTATCTTTGAAAACTCGTGGCGAACGGGGGAAGTCCCGGATGACTGGAAAAAGGCTAATGTAGTGCCAATCTTTAAAAAAGGGAAGAAGGAGGATCCTGGGAACTACAGGCCAGTCAGCCTCACCTCAGTCCCTGGAAAAATCATGGAGCAGGTCCTCAAAGAATCAATCCTGAAGCACTTGCATGAGAGGAAAGTGATCAGGAACAGCCAGCATGGATTGACCAAAGGAAGGTCATGCCTGACTAATCTAATCGCCTTTTATGATGAGATTACTGGTTCTGTGGATGAAGGGAAAGCAGTGGATGTATTGTTTCTTGACTTTAGCAAAGCTTTTGACACGGTCTCCCACAGTATTCTTGTCAGCAAGTTAAGGAAGTATGGGCTGGAAGAATGCACTATAAGGTGGGTAGAAAGCTGGCTAGATTGTCGGGCTCAACGGGTAGTGATCAATGGCTCCATGTCTAGTTGGCAGCCAGTGTCAAGTGGAGTGCCCCAGGGGTCGGTCCTGGGGCCGGTTTTGTTCAATATCTTCATAAATGATCTGGAGGATGGTGTAGATTGCACTCTCAGCAAATTTGTGGATGATACTAAACTGGGAGGAGTGGTAGATACGCTGGAGGGGAGGGATAGGATACAGAAGGACCTAGACAAATTGGAGGATTGGGCCAAAAGAAATCTGATGAGGTTCAATAAGGATAAGTGCAGGGTCCTGCACTTAGGACGGAGGAACCCAATGCACAGCTACAGACTAGGGACCGAATGGCTAGGCAGCAGTTCTGCGGAAAAGGACCTAGGGGTGACAGTGGACGAGAAGCTGGATATGAGTCAGCAGTGTGCCCTTGTTGCCAAGAAGGCCAATGGCATTTTGGGATGTATAAGTAGGGGCATAGCGAGCAGATTGAGGGATGTGATCGTTCCCCTCTATTCAACATTGGTGAGGCCTCATCTGGAGTACTGTGTCCAGTTTTGGGCCCCACACTTCAAGAAGGATGTGGATAAATTGGAGAGAGTCCAGCGAAGGGCAACAAAAATGATTAGGGGTCTGGAACACATGAGTTATGAGGAGAGGCTGAGGGAGCTGGGATTGTTTAGCCTGCAGAAGAGAAGAATGAGGGGGATTTGATAGCTGCTTTCAACTACCTGAAAGGGGGTTCCAAAGAGGATGGCTCTAGACTGTTCTCAATGGTAGCAGATGACAGAACGAGGAGTAATGGTCTCAAGTTGCAGTGGGGGAGGTTTAGATTGGATATTAGGAAAAACTTTTTCACTAAGAGGGTGGTGAAACACTGGAATGCGGTACCTAGGGAGGTGGTAGAATCTCCTTCCTTAGAGGTTTTTAAGGTCAGGCTTGACAAAGCCCTGGCTGGGATGATTTAACTGGGAATTGGTCCTGCTTCGAGCAGGGGGTTGGACTAGATGACCTTCAGGGGTCCCTTCCAACCCTGATATTCTATGATTCTATGATCCTTAAACGGTGCTTTGAGACAGAGAGAGGCGGAGGACAGGTACCAAGGCAGGATTGTGGATGCACATAAGTTAGGCAGGCACAAGCTCCCCTAACAGAGTTACTATGAAGATGCCTAGCAAGACATAGGATGTGACTCCCACAAAGTGCATTGATTTCTATGACAACTGGAACACCCAAACACCAGGAAACCTGATCTCCATTCAGCGCTCTGTTAGTGCTGCAGGCAGAGGGGCATTGTGAGATCAGAGGTAACTCAGCCAGTCATTACTCTCTCGCTCCAGTTTATTTGCATATTTCAATCTCATTGGTTGAAAAGAGTCAGCCAATGAAACTGCAGGTCAGGACTGAAGTGTATTGTCAGCATTGGGGGTGCAGGGGTTCAGGAATGGAATAACAGAACCGGAGCACAGTTGCCAACTTCCATGCGGTAAATAAGCACCCCGATTTTCATAATAAGCCAAAAATCAAGCTAATCCCATTGCAAATTTCTGCATTTTTTCTGCGGGTTTGGCATGTTGATCCAGAGCTAGATTGGCTGAGTATGAGTGAGGCTGGAGATTTGCATAGTGCCTCCCTCCACGCTATGCCCATTTACCTTCGCCCAGTCAAAACTGTTTTAGTTCATCTAAACAGTTCCTGCCCTGGCAGCACCAAATGGGCAATGACAAGAGGAGAGATGGCCAAGGCTGGCAGCAAGGTTTAAAGTTCGGGTTACTGGAGGGAGGGAATGACGACTGGCTGAGTTACCTCTGACTTTCCAAAGTTACTGCTCTGGCTCCTCTGCCTACAGACCCACATGGTCCCTGTCAGGAGGAAGGTGTTGATATGAAAGTGATAAACCAACACAGAGAAGAAGAGGACTTAACAGACAAATGTAGGGTTAGTGGCAGTATCCTGTCAAACTGCTACAGGTTCTGGGATAGAGCTGCTGTTCCTGCCCCTCCCTCCCCCACCAGCTCAGCCTGTCTAGGGAACAGAGTGGGTGACACTCTAATTATGCAACCTTACCTGGAAGACGAGCTCCCACCCACAATGGAATTAACCCATTTGACAAACAAGGAAAGGGAGGCACAGAGTGGGACGTGACTTGCCGCAGGGTGCACAGAAAGCCAGTGGCAGAGAACTCCATTTCCCAGCACTGCACACACTCCCTCAGTCCATGCTGTCTGGAGTAGCTACTCGATTCTCCGCACAATTCTAAGCTGGGAGAGCTAACAGTGCCTGAATCATGCAAGTTCTTATTTCTGTTGGTCCTAATATTCAAAAATAGCTCGGCTGACATTATTCCATTTCTCCAGAACAGATCCTATTCACCCAGTACACCACGTGTTGAGCGTCAACCCAAAGTTATCAATCTGTTCAGAGACAACCCATGCCTGCCGATAGAGGTGGGGCAGAGTGAGGGCAGCCAGCTTCAGCAGTGTTACTGAGCATGCTCAATCTGTGTGAGCATGCTCAGTACAAGCCAAGTGTGATGGGGCAGGTGCCCCTTACTGGCAGAAAAGGGGTTAAAAGCAGACCTAGGCTGCGCTGGAGCAGCCAATCAGAGAAGGGCTGAAAGGAGCAGCCAATCAGGGCCAAGCAGGCCCATGTAAAAAGGGAGCTGCAGGGCAGAGGAAGGCAGTTGTCTGCTGGGAGCCCAGGGAGGAAGGGCTGTGTCTCTGGAGGGCTGAGAGAAATGCCAGCACCCTGGACAGAGCAGTGCTGCAAGCAGAGACCACGGAAGCTAGAGAGAGCTCCTGGCTGGCTGCTAGGGCCTGCAGACTGAGGCCCTGAGGTAAGGGCAGACGAGGGTGCTGAAGCCACATCACATTGGACTGCAGTTGCCTCTGAGGGAAGTGGCTGGATAGCGATTGCAGGCCCCCCGGAAGCGGGGAAGGACAATGTGTGGCACGGCAGGAGGGCAGTGTCGCTGAAGAGGACACCATGGTCCTTGGAGAGATGTGGGTCCTAGAGCAGGAGTGACAGTAGTGAGGCACCACCCGAAGAGGGCGCACTACCATGCAGGGCTAATTCCCAAGACAACCAGCAGGAGGTGCCAGAGTGGCGAGCGCACCCCGTCACACCAAGCAGAAAATCAGGAGGGGAACGTGACCCTCCATGTCTCCCTCACACATCGCCTCTGAATCTGGTGCCATGGATGTGTCTAAAAACGCCAAATGTGTAACCAGGAACTTTCAGCTAACTAGCTATTCCCTGCATGCACCATACTGAATGACGTCCTTGCAGAATAAGTCTTTTTGCATCTGATGTTTCAGCCCTAATCTCTTTGGAGCAGAGACCTTGTCTTCCTTTGTGTTTGCACATCACTAACATGACAGGGACTCCCTCACTTGTGATGGGGGCAACTGAGCACCATGGCAACAGCAAATTAATTGGCATTATCCATGGGACTTCACTGAACCATATGGAGCCTCTACAATAACATACCCACTCCCCACATCCCTTTGCACCCCAGTATCCAGCCTATGACTGCATGTATATTACCTTCTGTCCATCGGCATATACAGCATAGCCGGTAACTCGGACCCCATTCGATGATCCTTCTGCATCAATGGTGACAGGTAGCCAACTGATAACCAGAATGCCTGCTGAGGGGCCAGGCTCTGCTTGGACATCAAGTGGTGCATCAGGAGTTCCTAGGAGAGATCAATGAGATTTTCCCTTTTATTTGTCAGGACAGTGGCATAATTGCCAAACTAAATCCAAGTAAGTAGTGGAAGGAAGGAAGTGAAGCTCTCTCACCCAAAAGTTACAGGAGTAGAAATCACTGGAGCAGTTCATCTCCGGACTTGGGAGAAAGAGACCAAATCGGAGCAGGGAAAATGCAATGCTTTTTGCTTTGTGAATTTCCCCATGTGGAAATCAGGCTTTTGCAAATGTAGATGAGGGTGAAGTGAAGTGATTCCTGCAGCATGGTGCATGAATTTAATGATGATAATACATGTCACCTCTCCCCCAGGAAGGCACACTTCAATGAAGGTGGACATTTGCTATTTTCACTCAGCAACTTGCAGCAAGAAGAGTTTAACTTGTAAAACTAAAACAGGAAAATGTTAAAACCAAATGACAAACCAGCTTAAGCCTGTCTATACTTAGAGCTGGGGCTCTGACATACACAGGCTAGCTCTCATCAAGCTAGAATGCCAAAAATAGAGAGTAGCTGCATCAGCATGAGCTGTGGGAAGGGCTAGCCACCCTGTGTATGTAGTTAGTGTCTCTGATGGGCAGCCACTCGGGGTGGCTAGCCCTCCCACTGCTCCCGCTACATTCTGGTTTTAGCATAGTAACTCAAGGAGAGCTAGTGCAGTTATGTCTTCTGGAACTGGGAATCCCAGCCCCAGCTCCAAGTGTTACTCTTTGGAAATCAGAGAAACCACCTAGTAAACTGCATTGTTTGTCCCCCTCTGTCCCCAGTACCTGCTAAGGGAGTAGTGAAGTGTATCGCTGCTGACTTCTTCTCACGCCTCTCCTGGGGCAACTCCCAGAGCACCCCGGGGGGCCGGGCCTCCACCTTGGCAACATACTGAGTGCTCGGGCGCAGGCTGCGGAAAGTGTACCAGTAGACACCTGGCTTTGTGGTATCACACTCTTCCTCATCGAGGTACACTGCATGAACGTAGTTGCTGTTGCACGGTAGCCAGGTCACTTCTGCTGAGGTCGCTGTCATGCTTCTGATTTTCAGCAGCATTGGTGCTATGCAGAAATCTTGCCCTACACAGAAAGTGCACCGCAGCTTATCGGAGCTTCCTTGGTCTGTCACACTTTGCACAGAGATGCGATAGGCTTTCAGCTCCAAGTCCAGCTTCTCGATCACAGCTTTAGTTTGAGAGCCACTCTTCACATTCTGGCATAACTCTGCATCCACATAGACGTTATAGCTCTGTACGTCTGCGCAGCCAGCTGGCAAAAGTGGTGGCTCCCAGCCTACAACTATGCTTCTGGTGAGCTGTTTGACCAGAGTCAGCTTTCTCGGGTAAGGCACTGCTGTGTGACTGACAGGCTCCTCCTGGTCTTCTGGTCTACCAGGCAATGGACTGATACTGGCCTCATCAGCAGAGTGATCACTTCTCTCTCCACTGCTAGTGCTTGCACCAACAAAAATCCTCTCGTGGTACGAGCTCTGGGTGAGATCATTTACCTCTGGAGGCAGAAAGGTCATGAGGTCATCATCTGAAACTTGTTCAACAAAATTGGAGGGGACCAGCCCTCTCCTGCCATCCATTAGCTCCCCTAGATGAGAAACAGGAAACCCGTTATCACCACACCTGCTCTTCAGACTCCAAACCTAGCAGTGGTAGAGAGAAAAGAGAGCAGCATCCCTGGCCAATCACTATCCCAACATGATCAGAAGAGAGAAGCCCTGTCAGGCCACAGCGAGCACAGCACTCTGCCAGGAAAGGACTGCTCCCTCCATTTCCTCGCACTTTGTCCCATCTGGTTCTACATGTTCCACAGGATGGGGTCTCCACCACTTCCCTTGGAGAGTATTTCACAGCCTAGGAACTAGGAAGTATTTCTAGATATTTAGACTAAGCTTCCTTTCCTTTTATTTCATCTAGTCACACTCCTTTTACTACCTTAAACCTTCTTCTCTAGCCTTTCCAACCCAATATCAATACCAGTTAGGGCATGGAGTGGAATCTTTGTTTTGGAGGATTTGTACAATTACCCAAAGCAAGAGTTCATGGCCTGGGGCAGTGCAGAAGGAGAAAAACGGTTACTAACCTTCCAATGTAGGTGTGCGCACGCCATGTGCACTGTCCCCCAGTGGTATCCATCAGATCGGCTATGGTGCCCCATGGAGTGACGCCTACATGGCGCAGTATATAGATACCTGCTGCCCTACTGCCCCCTCAGTTCTTTCTTGACTGCAACTCTGACAGAGGGGTAGGAAGGCGGGTTTTGGAATGGACATGAGCAACACATCTCGAAGAACAACAGTTACAGAAAAGTTAGTAACCGTCTTTTCTTCTTCGAGTGTTTGCTCATGTCCATTCCAATGCAGGGGATTCCTAAGGTGGTCAGGTGGTGGGATCAGAGTTTCACTGACAAGCAGACTAGCACCGCTTGGCCAAAACCTGCATCATCTCTAGCCTGCTGAGTGATGGCGTAGTTTGAGGTAAACTTGTGGATCAGCGACCAGGTCGCATTCTCTAGATATCCTGGATTGGGACCTGTGCTGCGTACGCCACCGCTGATGCTTGCAACCTTATAGAATGAGCCATCAAGCAAGGATGTAGGACTTCACCAGGTCACAACAAGTGCAGATGCAAGATGTAATCCAAGAAGAAATTCTCTGGGCAGAAACTGGACTGCCTCTCATTCTGCCTGCGATGGCTACGAAGAGTTGGGTGGTCTTTCTAAATGGCTTAGTCCTCTCTATGTAGAATGCCAGCGCACGTCTCATATCCAGTGAGTAGAGCCTCTGTTCCTCCCTGCTAGAGTGCGGCTTAGGCTAGAAGACCGGGATAAAAATGTCCTGGCTACTATGAAATTGAGAGACCACATTAGGGAGGAAAGACGGGTGTGGCCGGAGCCATATCTTGTTCTTGAAAAAGCCCATATACAGTGGTTCAGAGGTGAGGACTCTTCTGGCTGAGGTGATGGCCATGAGAAAAGCCACCTTCAAATAAAGATAGAGCAAAAAGCACATTGCCAGTGGCTCGAATGGGTGTCCTATCAGCCTTGTCAATACCAAATTAAGGTCCCAAGGGGGCAGAGGCTGGGGTACTTGTTAGTAGAGTTGTTTCAAACCCTTCGAGAAATGGTTGCAATTAGGTTTGAAAACACTGACTGGCCGTTCACTCCACGGTGAAATGCAGAGATCACAGCTAAATGAACCCTTATGGATGACATTGTCAATCCCTCCTGCTTTAAATAAAGCAGCTAGTCCAGAATGAGGGGCAGTGAGGATTCTGTAGGTGAAACGCCTTTCTGTGCTGACCAGATCGAGAACCTCTTCCATTTAGTCAGATAGGCGGTTCTTGTCTGCTACCCAAGAGCACCTCCTGTACCGGAGGTGAACAAGACTGTTCCTCCTGGTTCAGCCATGGAGGTTCCATGCTGCCAGGGGAGGCATTCAAGGTTCAGGTAGAGTAGGCGGCTGTGGTCCCAAGAGATCAAGTCTAGGCTGATCGGTGTGTCCACCGAGAGTTCCAGCAGGGTTAATCACGTTTTGTCCCTTCTGACCCTGAGCAGAACTTTATGTATAAGAGGAGTGGGAGGGAACACGTAAAAGAGCCTCCCCTTCCAGGGAAGGAGAAAGGCATCTGTGAGCGAGCCCGGACTGTGCCCCAGGAAGGAGCAGAACTGAGGGTACTTCCTGTTGTGCCTCGTCATGACTAGGTCCACTGGGGAAACCCCCACTTGTGGGACAATAGCGTTTAAGACATCTGGGCGAATGGATCACTCGTGATGGTTGGAAAAGGATCTGCTGAGGTGGTCTGCCAGCCTGTTCTGCGACCCTGGTATGTAGGAGGCTTCCAGGTGAATGGAGTGGGCTATACAAAAGTCCCATAGGCTCAACACTTCCTGGCAAAGGGTGGAGGAGCTGGCTCTCCCTTGCTTGTTTGTGTAAAACATTGTTGTGTTGTCTATGCAGACTGAGATGCACTTGCCTTCTAAGTGGGGTCGGAGCGCCTGGCAGGCTAAGCAAACCGCCCTTAGCTCTATCACACTGATAGGTAAGATTCGCTGCCGCAGCTCATCTCTGATGAGTCTGTGACTAGGGACATTGAAGCGGTGGGCCACGAAAAGGGGACACCTGGGTTCTGATCCAGCAACCACCAAAGGGCCGAAATCACTAGTGACAGAAGTGTGATCACCTTGTCCAGAGGATATCGATCCAGTATGGACACCGATGCCCACCATAATGGGAGGGGCCACAGACAGAGTCACGCGTGTTGCACCACACAGGTACAAGAAGCCATGTGCCCCAGAAGCTTTGAGCAGTTTCCCGCTGTGGTGATGGGGAAAACTCTCAAACCGTTCATGAGAGATTCAATGGCTCTGAATCAGCTTTCTGGGAGGAAGGCTCTGTCCTGGATCGAGTCCAGAACTGCCCCTATGAACTCTATTCTCTGAACTGGCAAAAAAGTTGACTTTTGCATATTTATCAACAGCTCCAGATTCTGGAATGTTGACTGTATCTGCTCTACATGCGCCTTCACCTGATCTCTCAATCGACTTTAGATCAGCCAGTCATCCAGGTATGGGTATACTTTCACCCCTCTCCTCCTGAGAAAGGATGCCACAACTCCCATGCACTTCATGAACATCTGTTGGAACACGACAGACCAAAGGATTGAACGCTGAACTGATAATGTTTCTGGTTTACCATGAATCAGAGGTACATCTTGTGACCTGGGAAGATGGCCATGTGAAAATACAGGTCCTTTAAGTCAAGGGTAGTGTACCAATCCCCTGAATCCAGGGAGGGGACAACAGAGGCCAGGGAGATCTTGTGGAACTTCAGCTTTTTCATGAATTTGTTGAGGTTTCACAGATCCAGGATGGGTCTGAAGTCACCATTGGCCTTCAGGATTAGGAAGTAACGTGAGTAAAACCTCTTAACTCCAGAGGAACCTCCTCCACAGCTCCCGCCCTTAGGAGTGGCTACACCTCCTGGGCAAAAAGTCTCTCATGAGAAGGGTCCCTCAAGAGGGACGGGGAGGGAAACAACTGAACTGCAGGGTATATCCCACTTCCACCATGAGAAATACCCAACAGTCCAAGGTAATGCGGGTCCACGCTTGGCAGAAGAGGGACAACTGGTCAACAAACAGGGGAGATAAGATCCAGGCACTATCCTGGTATGCTGTCTGCAGGCGCCCCCGAGAAGATCTGCTTCGGTTCCGTTGAGTGTCTTCTGGGAGCAGATGTGGGGGCTGATGAGAAGTGAGGTGTAGGCCTCCTCCTTCTTATTCCTCCTGTGTCTATACTCTTGCCTCTGCTGAGGATGCTGTGGAGGATAGAGATGGCCCATAGGTTGGGGTTTATAGTGTTTCTGAGCTGGGGCTGGGGTGTGGAGACCCAAGGATTTTAAAATAGCCCTTCAGTACTTTAGCCTATGGAGCTTAGCATCAGTCTGCTCCAAGAAAAGGGAGTTCCCTTCAAAGGGTAGGTACTGAATAGTCTGTTGGACTTCATAGGATAGTCCTGAGGACTGAAGCCAGGACCTCCACCTCATGATCACTGCTGAGGCCATGAATCAGGTTGCCAAGTCCGCCATGTCCAAGGCAGCTTGGAGAGATGCTTTGATCACCACGTTACCCTCCTCTACAAGGGCCAAGAATTTAGTCCGGGACTCTGAAGGTAAGAGTTCCTTAAATTTTGTCATGGCTGACCAGAAAACAAAATCATAATGGCCCAAGGGCTTGACGGTTGGCTATTCTCAGCTGGAGGCTCCGCATTGAGTATACCTTCCTGCCCCATAAGTCCAGCTTCTTGGCCTCTTTCGCATTAGGCGATGGCCCTTATTGCCCCTGTTTCTCCGTTTCATTAGCTGCCATGACAACCAGCAAGCCTGGTGGAGGGTGAGTATAAAGATCCTCATATCCCTTGGGAGGCACAAAATATTTCCTTTCCATCCACTTAGCTGTGGGCTGGAGGGAAGCAGGAGTCTGCCACAGAGTCTTTACGGGCTGCAAGATGACATCATTTAAAGGCAGGGCCACTCTTTAAAGGGCACTAATATGTCCATCAGGGCCATGGGCTGACTCAGATTTCCTCAGCCTGTATTCCCAAGTTCTGTGTGTTGCAATGTAGAAGCTCTTAATGAGTCCTATAGTCATCTTGCGTGGGTACCATGGTCATCCCCGCCACTGCCTGGTCTGGGGAGGAGGACAATGAAGCTTGTACCAGAACTGGGCCTTCTACCGCTTCTGTTGCCCTGTGTCCTGGTGTCAACCTCAGCAGGATGGATTAAACCCCTTTCAGATGGGGAAGGCAGAGGCGCTCTCACCTCCAGTGGTGCCAAGAGCATCCGGAGTGGAAATCTTGAAACGGATGGATCACCCAAGGGTACACTGGCCACTGCACTGGCATTTACCATTGTGTCGATGACCATGCTATCAGTACGTGCCTTTGTGCCATAGCTGCTGGGTGTCTATGGTCAGCCTGGTACCTGCTCCTCTGGGAGGTGTACGATTCTGCCTCCAATTCACAGCCCAAGGACCCACTCCTGGGTGATCACAGTGGAGTAGTGCTGAGACGGGGACCGGTGCTGCGAT